TTTTGCCATGCAGCTATAGAGTCCCATTGTGTGCTGTCACTGTGTGTAATAGGACAAAGCTATTGTATGGTTGGCTTATAGATGTCTTCATTGACCTAAACTTAAACTTTACCTGCTTTGATTCTGAAATATGACAAGCAGTGACTGTAATATTCACAATGTAAATAATCAACAAGTGTTTGGAGTGTTTGATTAAAATGATCAAATGATAACTGTAAAATCGGTTGATATATTAACAACTTGGCTATTTTGTCTGCTAGCATATTTCATTTGATTGGTCTTGGGTGTTGTCATGGTAATTAATATATATTCTTCTTATACGCCCTTACAAATTACAAAATGTAGGTTTGTATATATCATTGTGCAACATACATGTACTCATGTGTGAATTCACTTTATTAAAATTCTTTTCCTACTAGAGGTATTTATTCAAGTACAATATTGAAAAGTGTGTGTGCAGTCTGCAAACTTGACCTTGAGTCTCAATATACATGTTTGTACATTCCAAGGTACTACATGTAGCTAGGAATTTAAAATGCTAAAATATGCTAAAAAGAATGATTTGGGGCATTTGTTTGAAATTGTCAATGAACAAAGGGGAAAATCAGAAAAACATAATAAAATATTACCTGTTAAGTTGGTAGGCTTACTGGTACATGGCAAATACAATGTTACATTCTTTCTTCAGACAAATATCTATAGAGTAATATCGGTGGGTTTGATTAACCTTTTCACCGCCAGATTTGTTCTACACTTTTTTCTTGTATTCTTCAATATTTTTCGGAAATGAATCCTAATTTTGGAGCCAACAGACAAATTTTAGTCAATTTTCAGTTTTTACTCAAAATATTTGGCAATATTTGTTCCAATCTTCTGAAGGAATGTCCAGACTATAAACAGGACTATTTTGTGAATTTGTGATGAAAAGAAGGAACTAATGGTGAAAAGATTGTCGTTCTTTGTATGTAACTATATTATGTGCTTCTGTGAGTTCAGTGTGCAAAATATGAGATGCAGACTTTACTGGGACACCTTTATTCTGTTCTTTGTATGTAACTATATTATGTGCTTCTGTGAGTTCAGTGTGCAAAATATGAGATGCAGACTTTACTGGGACACCTTTATTTTGTTCTTTGTATGTAACTATATTATGTGCTTCTGTGAGTTCAGTGTGCAAAATATGAGATGCAGACTTTACTGGGACACCTTTATTCTGTTCTTTGTATGTAACTATATTATGTGCTTCTGTGAGTTCAGTGTGCAAAATATGAGATGCAGACTTTACTGGGACACCTTTATTCTGTTCTTTGTATGTAACTATATTATGTGCTTCTGTGAGTTCAGTGTGCAAAATATGAGATGCAGACTTTACTGGGACACCTTTATTCTGTTCTTTGTAAAGTATATATGCCTTAAGTATGTTAGGAATATTTTTCATAACCATACCATGCTATGCTTACATGGTTACCCAGCTCACCATGAAATTACATGTAGAGTTGACCCTGTGAACACCTTTGCCAGGCATTCACTATCAATGTATCTCTACTTGGCTTGCATACCAGTATTCACCGGATGAACAGAAATAACTGTGAAGGTGTCTCATATTTTTAGAACCACTTCTATATTCAATATTCACAGTTTATATACTGATACAGTGTATATGTATGTTTCATATTGTTTGTTATTGTTCAAGACTTTGGTGTGGCAGGGGTGACTGGATGATCAACTTTTTCTACCATTCACAAATTGTAGTGTATAATCAAAATGCTTTGATCAAAACCCATGGGCAATGGGAAATTATAGATTCGTTTGATGTGCAATATGTCAACTTTAGGCATCATCCACAAAATAGTTTCATTTCTAGTCTGCTCTTTTCTATAAAAAATGTTGCGAAAATTTCAAATATTTTGATCCAAAACTAGAAGTAACGTCACATTTTGTTAGTATGGTCCAAAATTAAGATTGAGTTCAATAAAAATTATGAAAAATATGAACAAATCTATTCATTTTGAGCAGGGAAAAAAATGGCACTTAAAGGGTTGGTTAAAATTTTACCAGGGACAATAGTGGTGCTGAATGAGAGGTTATGGAATGTACAATTCAGGTCATCTATTGTCTGGTCACCTATAGAATAATTACACAGTATTACGTGACTGCTTCATTGCCTGCAAAACAAGTATACATGTATATGTGTACAAACCTAGAAACACAAACAACATGCTTCGTACAGCAGTGTTTAAAAAGAAAAAATAATATAACTGTTACATGGTTCAGTTATCTCAGTAACAATCTTATTGTAATGTGCCTGGTTTTAACAGGTGATTAATTACCATGTTGAGGTTAGTATGAATACAGACTGAGGCAGTAGTGTGTGAGGACAGTGCAATACAGACTGAGGCAGTAGTGTGTGAGGACAGTGCAATACAGACTGAGGCAGTAGTGTGTGAGGACAGTGCAATACAGACTGAGGCAGTAGTGTGTGAGGACAGTGCAATACAGACTGAGGCAGTAGTGTGTGAGGACAGTGCAATACAGACTGAGGCAGTAGTGTGTGAGGACAGTGCAATACAGACTGAGGCAGTAGTGTGTGAGGACAGTGCAATACAGACTGAGGCAGTAGTGTGTGAGGACAGTGCAATACAGACTGAGGCAGTAGTGTGTGAGGACAGTGCAATACAGACTGAGGCAGTAGTGTGTGAGGACAGTGCAATACAGACTGAGGCAGTAGTGTGTGAGGACAGTGCAATACAGACTGAGGCAGTAGTGTGTGAGGACAGTGCAATACAGGGTCAACAGCAACAAAGCATGATAAGTATTTATAAAGCATGTAGTTAAATCTTTTAAGTGGCTGTGTTGTGCTAGAAATGAGAAACTGAACGCACTTTTATATGGTTGGTGAACTTTGAATGTAAAGCTATTGTTGTTGTAATGGACGCCTGCATTGTGACTGCATAGACACTTGTCATGTGTTTCTACGCCATTAACTGAACGCTAATCAACCACCTGACTTTAAACTTGTGATAATCTTCTAATATATTTCAGTTTCTATGTGAAAAGTTTAGGGTTATTGAATGAGCTAGACATACATGTACGGTAGTCACTTACGGCAGTTCTTGAGTCAACTTTACTGCTGACTTATTGTTGTTAATGAACTTGATAGTTAAAGGTGTGGTTATCTTATCCATATTCTTGGAGAGCTTAGAGGTATTTTGTTGCTAAAACTGGAGATAAATCCATTTTTGATTGATTGAGTTCAATTTGTATGTTTTTCATTGCTATTGACTACACACACATTTTATAGTTTTTTTCTGAATAACTGGGATTCAGGTGACAATTGTTTGTTCGGGCTGGGTTATAAATTCAATTACTCAGTGGTGTGGTATTATGAAACACACCCGGTGTGGTATACATATATGCATGTACATGTACCTATTCCCAAATTGGGAATTGATGGATTCATCATAGTCATTTTTAGTTTCCTGGTAACCATTTTGTGGTTTTATCTGATTTCATTGAGACTTTGGTGTGACAAAGATTGACTGCATTTGGTTGTTACCAAGGTGATATATACATTTTGTTTATAGATTTTGTCAACTTCACAAACTGTATATTGCCAAAATGTTTTTGATTTCTTTGTATAATACATACATTGTATCACAGTGAAGTTGATTAATGATACCAGGGTCATTGAGTTCTCTGCCAGTGATCTGTAGCTTATATCTACTGTACTCGATTATAACATTGTGTAATTAACATACCTCAGAAATATATGATTTTTATATGACAGACATGCTGACTAGACAAGAAATATTCTATTTGGAAAACATATTGTTGTATGCTTAGTAGTTTTTTAACTAATAAATAGTTTGTTGTTGTACTTTATTTGAATATCTTTCCCTGCATGTAAAGACATGTAAATTATACCTCCCACTGTCTGTAATATTAATAATCTGAAAAACTACCCAGAGTTCCCAGGGGTTGTAAATATTGGAATTCTGCAAATCACAGTCTGTGTGCAGTACAGTATAATATAGAAATTTCTTTCTTGTGATTCATCTGATATGCAATGTGAAATACGTAATGATTGCTAGCTTCCTGTTTATTTCACAGGGTATCCTTCAATGTCTGGGATTGCATTTTTGTCTATTTGACTGTAGTTACATATACATGTACATGTAATAGGGATCTGTTGTATGAGCTTGAAATGAGGAATGTATGATTTACCATATGCTTTTTTTGTGATTGCTCTGAATTATAATTTTTAACCATGCTGTTGATTTCATGTACAAATTGAATATTTGAAACAGCTTGCACATAATAAAGGAATTAATTTGCACTGCCTTATTGACCTTTTTTTTTAAAAAAAAAAGGTGAGAGATTATATGTGTATATCGCCATTCTAATCACATAAATTCACATCAGATTGTAGTACAGTTTATTTTGAGACAATAACATAATTATAAACCAATTAATTTTATGGCATTGGTGAAGAGAAAAAAAAATCATGGAAATCGCTGAAATTGACATGAAGTGAAATTTATCCCTTGCGATATTAAAGTGGTTTATAGGATTTGGTAACTGAAACAGTGGTTACAATAAGTGATTAAAATATTGTTATGTGAATTACCACAATGGTGTGATATTTTCATGGGGTATACTCATGTGGTGTGCCATGGAATGAGCATAACTACTGGGGTATTATTGTTCTATTGAACATTTCATATTAACAGGTGACAGTGTTCTTGTATCTAAAGGTTTAGCTCTGTATAGAACAAATATAATATTTCTTCATACATATTTGCTGTATTAGGAGCACAAAAAACAGAAAATTATATGCATTGTTTACTCAATCATTAAAATACATGTATGACCTATTGTGACCAGACACATCTTTGTCATTTATGTAAGCGTATACGGTATGGATATGGACTCAAACCGTGTGGTGATACCCTTATTGCTGACTGCTTCACATAATGACCTGTTTTCTGTTTTTCTTTCAGAGTAAAGTTAATGCCTCTATTTACTGGTTAATTTATAAAGCGTATCCATACAGTGAAATACCGGAAGAATTCAATAATTTGTTTTATACAGATAGCCAGGTTAGTTTATGTCATCATTTTACCTTGTCAATGGAAATGATAGAGAAGATTTTACTACATATATCGGTAGTTTGATCTTTCATAATCAACTTGAATATTTGGTGTTTACATTTGATGTATCAGAAATAAGCTTGATATATGACAGAGTTTAATTAATATTGAAAATCAAGACCCATTCCAGAGCCCTAAAAAGATATGAAACTCGGTGAAGAAATGCTTCTGATTCTCTTGTTTTTGGATATTGTAAAATACTTTATTTTCACTTGGAATTAATTTTCGCTGAAGGGATGATTCAGTGAAAATAAAATCCAGCAAATATACCTTTTTTCCCCTTTTACATTCAACTCGTCAAAAATCAGTGAAAATAAATTCCATACAAAACAGCAAAAATGTCTTTTTAGCGAAAATTAATTGCAGCTAAAATAAAGTATTTTACAGTACATGTATACTAACACTGCACTTTTGTTTCTAAACATAGACTTGAAAATACCACTTAATACTTTAGACAGACAAACAGACAGACAGACATTACATAATTATGACACATGCATATTTTACTCTATAGGCAAAATGTTTCAAATAAAATATAAAATATGTATTGTATCTGATAGAATGAGCTGTGTATAAAATTACATATGATATATGACAGTGTAGTTTATTTTTATAAATTTTTAATTATTATGCCATTATGATTCTTTCTGAGAAAATTTCTACCACTGTAACCAGTTTGCAACAATAGAAATACTAACAATAGGGTTATGATAATTCTAAATAGCATGTTGCCAGTGGTGGTTTCACTTCAGGATATCAGTCAAGGAGTTCTGAGTTGTTTGTAGGATATGTCAACAGCCTAAAGTTATCCATACTAGTCTTGCAGACATTTTAGCCCTAAGCTTATTACTTTATTATTCTTGTTTAATGTACCAGTAACTTTTATTGCTTTACACAGCAAACTTTTGATTGATGGTGACTATTCAAGTTAAAAACTTGATAAAAGACGGTTTGACAACTTATAACACCATACCCAAGTGTTGGAATACTCTACCCTCCTCCTGGTTAACCTTTGACCTTTTATTACAGGGTGAGGCACATTTGAAGCCACTAGTCATTAATCAGTTAGTGTCAGCTGAATTGTATTGTAAAGCATGCAGTAACATCTTTAGAAATACAGAGTATCAGTGGCAGGGGCATTGGAGTGTTATACAGATATTATCTAGGAATGGCATTTATGTGGTGGATAAAAACGAGGAAGCTGTCACGGAAGGAATGCTTGTACAGGCATCACCTTTTAAACTGGTGAGTGAACGTCAAAGATAAATTGTTTCTCTGCCTGCCATTATGGATGAATATGAGGCAACAGGGCGATATGGAGTTTGTATTAGAGTTTGTGATATAGATTATTTATAAAAAAATTAAAAAAAACAGACAAACGCTCACACAAATACAGTTAAAACATTTATTTTTACTGATATTTCATTTCAGTATTTTGATGTTTTGAGCATATTAACTGTGTTTTAATTTCATGAATTTCACAATGAGTTTTGTTGTTATTTTACATGTTCTTGTAGATTTAATTTAGCGCATTTTACTTACCAACGAAAATAGAAAAATTAAAACCCAGTGAATAATTAATGCATTTACAGTACACACACACATGTCTGTGCAAGTGGTGATACATGAATATGAGAGGAGGACATGTTTTATTCGGCCAATTAGGAGGACATGTTTTATTCGGCCAATTAGGAGGACATGTTTTATTCGGCCAATTAGGAGGACATGTTTTATTCGGCCAATTTCTTCATTTCTGTTTGTAATTTAATGTGAATTTGTATCACTGAAGCATCTTAGTCATAAATTTAAATTAAAGTTGCTGTTCATTAGACAGGTTGGAGATTAATCAATTATGTACCAATCTCTTGCAAGATAAATTGAGATATTATTTGAAATAATATTTTTGTTCTTGAGAATCAGTAAGTTTTTATGATTCTGAAAGCAATATTTTTGACATCTTTAGCAACATGGCACTATTTGATACTGAATGTCTTTATTTTTATTTACTTGTCCTAGCTGAAATTTGCCTGTCTGGGACAGGTGCATAGGCCTTAATTTTAACCATCATAAATGCAATGGTTGTATTTTGGTAATGTTAACTTTGTTCACATGGGTTTTATGTAAATGCATGCTCTTCAGTTAGATCAAATACAGTAATTCCTAACACTAATAATGATGTTCCCATATTACCACACTGTACCACTTTGTCTTGGCAGAATGCCCATCTAACTTTGATAGACTGTATCATGTCAGCGTATATCATTGAAGTTGTCACTGTTGAAAAGATTGTCCAGTCAGTTAGGTAAGTGTTTACACATACCTGTGATCAAAGTATTTACAATGACATTTATCTCAATCATCAGTTGTGTCCTAGTTTCACTTCATATGTTTATTCACCATACAGTCAGGCTCCAGTGTATTTGTATACCAATGTATTCATGTCATCAAAACAGACAGATAAGAGTGATGTATTCATGCCATCAAAACAGACAAATAAGAGTGATGTATTCATGCCATTAAAACAGACAGATAAGAGTGATGTATTCATGCCATCAAAACAGACAGATAAGAGTGATGTATTCATGCCATCAAAACAGACAAATAAGAGTGATGTATTCATGCCATCAAAACAGACAGATAAGAGTGATGTATTCATGCCATCAAAACAGACAGATAAGAGTGATGTATTCATGCCATCAAAACAGACAGATAAGAGTGATGTATTCATGTCA